AGTGGGGAGTGGGGGGGGGGGGGGGGAAAGGTGGGTAACTTAACTATGCTGAAAGAAGAAGTGAAGTCAGGCATTTTTAGTGCCTTGGGTGCTACATTCTGCAATATAAAAAGTTCCTTCAGTATAGTTTTGTATGGTAACAGCTATTATTTTTAAATAGAATCATAGAATAATAGGACTGGAAGGGACCTCAAGAGGTCATCGAGTCCATCCCCCCCGCCCTCAAGGCAGGACCAAGCTCCGTCTACATCATCCCTGACAGATGTCTATCTAACCTGTTCTTAAATATCTCCAGAGAGGGAGATTCCACCACCTCCCTTGGCAATTTATTCCAATATTTGACCACCCTGACAGTTAGGAATTTTTTCCTAATGTCCAATCTAAACCTCCCCTGCTGCACTTTAAGCCCATTACTCCTTGTCCTGTCCTCAGAAACCAAGAGAAACAAATTTTCTCCTTCCTCCTTGTGACACCCTTTTAGATATTTGAAAACCACTATCATGTCCCCCCTTAATCTTCGTTTTTCCAAACTAAACAAGCCCAGTTCACGAAGCCTGGCTTCATAGGTCATGTTCTCTAAACCTTTAATCATTCTTGTCACTCTTCTCTGTACCCTTTCCAATTTCTCCACATCTTTCTTGAAATGTGGCGCCCAGAACTGGACACAGTACTCCAGCTGAGGCCTAACTAGTGCAGAGTAGAGCGGCAGAATGACTTCACGAGTTTTGCTTACAACACACCTGTTGATACAACCTAGAATCATATTTGCTTTTTTGGCAACAGCATCACACTGTTGACTCATATTCAACTTGTGGTCCACTATGACCCCTAGATCCCTTTCCGCCATGCTCCTTCCTAGACAGTCGCTTCCCATCTTGTATGTATGGAACTGATTGTTCCTTCCTAAGTGGAGCACTCTGCATTTCTCCTTATTAAACCTCATCCTGTTTACCTCTGACCATTTCTCTAACTTGCTAAGGTCATTCTGAATTATGTCCCTATCCTCCAAAGAAGTTGCAACCCCACCCAGTTTGGTATCATCTGCAAACTTAATAAGAGTACTCTCTATCCCAATATCTACATCATTGATGAAGATATTGAACAGTACGGGTCCCAAAACAGACCCTTGAGGAACTCCACTTGTTATCCCTTTCCAGCAGGATTTAGAACCGTTAACAACAACTCTCTGACTAGCAAAGCAAAAATAGCAAAGAATAAATTCCAGCATGTGTTTCAAAAGTGTCTTTTCTTTGAAAACTGGATTTGTTAATTCCAGCAGGGGCATGTCCCGTACCACACACCTGATGCCATCGGTCTGGCTAGAGCGACATACACCTTTCTAGCCCAAACAGAAGAAGCTAGATAATACTGTTCTGTACTTTGTACATAGCACTTTTCCCCAAAAGCGTCTCAAATGCATTTACAAAAGCTGAGTTAATGTCATAATAATACAAGAGGTCACATGTATCTTTACTCAAAGGAAAGACAGGCAGTCCCCGACTTACGCAGATCCGACTAATGTCGGATCCGCACTTACGAACGGGGATTTTCTCGCCCCGGAGCTCACAGGCAGCGAGTCGCCGCCCGTGTCCTCCGGGGCGAGAAAAGCTTCTCCCGGTCTCCCTGGTCTGCTGGGGGGGAGGGGGGGAGGGGTCCAGCAAAGCCGCTGGACCCCCCCAGCAGGCCAGGGGGACAGGAGCAAAGCCGCCCAGGCGGCGGGGGTCCCGCTGCCTGGCCGGCTTTGCTCCCGGGCAAACGAGCAAAGCCGCCCAGGCTGCGGCTTTGCTCGGGTGGCCCTACCCCCAGCACCCCAGGGAGACAGGAGCTGCTCCGGGGCAAAGGAGCAAAGCCACACGGGCGGCGGGGTCCCCTCCGCCTGTGCGGCTTTGCTCGGGTCTCCCTGGTGTGCTGGGGGACTAGTGTGCCCCGCCCCCAGCAGACCAGGCTTTTGTTGCGGGACGCCTCGGGTAGAGCAGCTGGGGTGCTGCCGGGTTGGTCCTGTAGGAACCTACCGGGCAGTGTCCCAGCTGTTCTGTCCCAGGCTCCAGATTCAGCAGCTGTTGAAACTGATCAGGCTGATTCCAGGAAGTTGGGGGCAGAGCAACTCTGCCTCCGGCTTCCGGTAGTCAGCCCCTGGTCAGTTTCAGTGGCAGCAGCTGAATCTGGAGCCAGTTCCAACTTACATACAAATTCAACTTAAGAACAAACCTACAGTCTATCTTGTACGTAACCCGGGGACTGCCTGTAGTGTGAAGCACATCATAGCACAAAATATTCTGAAACCATCATCACTACATTATTCAATGATGAATTTATTATTTTCCTCAAGTTTTCTATTCTGTATGCTAATACATTACTTGAACAAGTATGTGTTTAAGACACCACTGTCTTCCACTATGCAATACATTTTGCTCTGTAGGTAGAATGTACAACTTTCTTCAAGTTGGACATTCAGTAGAGCTTCATAGAATATGCTTAATGCACAGAAAAAAAACCTACCTTCCAACAGGCTTATTCTTTTGACACTTACATGCAGTCTCTGCTGAAACAGAGCTTGACAGTGTCTGAGTTTTTAAACTTCAGTTACATCAGAGTGAGCTCAGTTTGTTAAGGAGACAGCTGAAAGCATTCAAGAATGTCTGAGTCAGCAGGACCAATGTACATATTGGGTCTACTTTTCACAGTACAGCAAGGGACCCAATTAAGGCTCTTGCAGTACATAGTAAGTTTAGGTGCCCAAACAGGTGTTCTAGCTGTAACTGACTGGAGCAGACCAGCTACATACAGAAGCAGTGGAGGAAACTCTTACTAGAGGCCTTTGCTTTATCTGTAGCAAAAGGCTTCTAAACCACCACTGGATGGCAGATCCCAGAAACTGTGGGACTGAGTGGCCATATTCCTCTTCTCTCAGATCCTTCCCCCAGAAAGTATTTAAAAGGAAACAAACTTTGTTGTGGCTCTTATCACAGAAAACCCCGCCATGGGGAGAGTTCTATCTGGCCCTATACCTGAAAGCCAAAATATATTCATTCAAGGCAAGTTACTACTTAGGAATACCTTTACACTGAGTATGACAATGTAAAACACTCATTAGCTGCCCATGGAGGTGGAAATTTATGCTTCTCTCCCATTCTTGCATAATAAGGAATGACTGGAATTTGTTCATTCTTTCAGAAACTCAGATGCTAGTCAACTTTGGATTGCAACCAAGCTTGAGAAATATCTGACAGACACCGAGAAAGTTGTACTGTAAGGCGCATAGTAAGATTTAAGTTTGCAATTGTTACTGTTACACTGATATACTAGTCTATTTTCCATTTAGCAGTACACTTGTAAAAGCATCCATCACCATGGTATATTTCAATAGAGTTTATTCACAGAAACAATTAGAGTGTCTTTTGCCTAACAGCTTTTTCTCTTGGATTTTTAAAAAATAAATATTCTGTTCTGAAAGTGATCTATGAACAAACAAACATATATACATCAGGCTTAGGAAGAGTAAATACAAAAGCCATTCACCAATAGTTCAAACAGTGGAAATTCTGGAAAATACTGATAAAACCAGAGGAATATTTTTAGGAAGAACGGCAGATCCTAGCCACTGAAACCTAACCATGTGACAGGCAGAAGGTCAGCTTCAGAAAAACAGCTCGGAGCCAAAAGGCCAGATGCCACTGCTGGAAGAATTACTTCATCTGCAGTTACCATGTATATGCCTATAAAGTGACTGTGACCTCTTTCAGACTGAGTCAGATTTAATACTTACAAATAGTGATCTTCATTAAACAGGTCTCTCCTTTGTTTTTCTTGTTGCCTTCTTTTTTCTTCCAGTTTGTCAGCCTGTGAAGTTGAAGAGGTTATGAATGATTTCACTACTCATTTGGGTTTTAAAAGCTAATTAAATTTCAATCCCAAGCATACAACTGCCCAAAACACAGGTAAAGTATTTTAAAGAGACTGCATCCTAGATGGTCTGTTTTTAAGAAGACAAACAGTCAAATACCTCCTGGCAGCAGGGTTAAATTAGTCTTTTCATAAGTACAAATGAAGATTTGGCACTCTGTATTTGTGCCTGAAATATAGTAAACGGTCTTGACTGATATCCAGAGGCCATATGTTGCACAAACCTTGGCGTCTTACCTTTTTCCATTAGAATGGTTAGAACTCTATACTTCTGTCCTGCTGTGCCACCTAGAACTTTTTTTTTTAAATCCCTGCAGGAATCTACAGTTGTGGATCAGTGTAACAGATACAAGAATCAAACAGGGACACATGACTTTTACCCCTAATCAGAGTATCTGTGGCATACCTGGCCTTAAAACAGGACTGAGGAGTGTCAGAGGAAATCTGAGAACACCAGCTATTGCCAGAGTGGTGGCTTCAAACACCACCTTCCACAAGAGTGACAATCAGTAGGATTATTGTGTTACAGGCAGGCTTCTGTGATTGCTTCTTAAAGAGACATTGGCACCTGACCCTCCCAAAGGGACACATTGATAGTTCCCTTCAGCAAGACAGATCCACTGACTCAAGAATTTGACAGCCTGTAAGATGGACTCATGACTAATTGGTGGTGTTGGAAGGCTCCTCAACATGATGGAAGGCTCCCTTGCATTGACAGGACTCAAGAGGGCAATACTAGCTGAAACAGACACATTTATCTCCTCCAGATAACGTTTTTATGGCCACTGAAAAGCAGTGATTTGTCAGTGATTTTGCATATGAAATACAAACTGCATGAAATATTAGACTACAATGGATAAAGGAAGGAAGGATTCCACAATAACTACAATGCAGAACTGTGCTTGAATTAAAACCTGATGTATTACTTATTGGCCACTGGCTACTGCACTAGCCTTTCACCTCTACCAGTTTACCCTAAAATCCTTGCCTAGGTCACAGTAAGAGAGAGGACGTTCAAACATCAGAGAAGCTCTTCACAAGTGGCACTCGCTCTTCAAAGAGGGCCAAAACTGGAGCTGCTGTGGTACTGAAGCAAAATATGTTGGACTGCATTAGGAAAGACGTATGCAGAAAGGTTGCAAATTTCCTGGCTGCAGCAAATACCAAAAATGAAAGTCTGCAGTACAATTACTAGTGACCAAACTACAAAGCACAATGATAAGATGAAATTTAATTCCAAGTTGGTTTTCTTTATTTTAAGCTAGCTGGATTTACTGGGTGTTGCTCAGGATGGGCGGTGGGGTCCTGCTGGGGGTGCCCTGTGTGAACGGCTGGCGGGAGGGAGGGGACAATGACCCCACCGCTCACCCCAAAACTTTTGCCCCGCTATCTGCCACACCATAGGGCCGCGCTGGGGGGCTCCCTTCTCCCACAGCAAGCAGATGTCGGGCTCCCTGCCACGTAACCAGGAAGCTGTGCCGGACCCTGGGCCGCTCCCAGCACCGCCACTGCCGCCGCCTCCCCACTGCACCCGCAACCGC